TAAGCTATATTGTTTAACATATATTAATTAGGGATCATTTGGTTGAGATTTGAAACCTAGAGATATTAATTAGTTTATTTAATTAATTTTTGTTTCTATTGCATTAATGATTTAATCATGTATTTAACTTTGTTTGCATGTTTAAATCATAATTTTAGACTTGCATTAGACTCTTCAGTTTATGTTTTCACTATTGAATGATATTGTTATAGCGTGTAACGAATCGCACACTGAAGATTCGACATGTGATGTTATTATAGCGTGTAACGAATTGCACTCTGAAGATTTGACATTTGTCATCATATAGTAGTTGTGGATTTAGAGTATGTGTTGTGTGGTTACAACCTACTTGTGCATGGAAGGTAGTTTCGTGCATTATTTAAATTACGTATAGGTTGTGAACTTATTTAATTATTTTGGAGTCGCTTGGGACATTGTTACAGAGACATGGCTAGAGTTTGGTTCTAATACGGGAGGTATGAGTTCTCCCTATTTTATAGTGCACACTAGAGTGGTATTCCCAGCGGGTTAGTGCCCGGAATAACCGTTTAGGTCTTGACTTTATCCAAGATTTGATGTCCAAGTCTTCTACTATTTAATTTCGCATTCAATTCCAAGTTGACAACCAATGTTTAATTGTGACTTGTGGTTTTGGTTATTGGTGATTTAATATTGTTAAGTACATTTATACATTATGATTTTAATGAATCATCGCAGGCTTTAATGTTGTTAAGTACATTTATGCATTATGATTTTACTGAATCATCGCAGTTTTAATGTTGTTAAGTACATTCATGCCTTATGATTTTTAATGAATCATCGCAGTTTTGATGTTGTTAAGTACATTTATGCTTTATGATTTTAATGAATCATTGCAAATTTTGATGTTGTTAAGTACATCTATGCTGTATTGTTCAAATATAACTCAGGAATGATCCTATAGATTCATTTGGAACATAGACGTTAGGTGGCATGACCCACTTTAATTGTTTTCACATTTTAGATTTCAAGTTGATAACTTTGAGAATATATATCTTGTTACCTTGTATAACATGCTTCTATATTATTTAAATTGTATGAATAATGTGATTTATGCTAGAAATGATCTAAGGTAGCTTAAGATGCTCCTTGAGTCTCACCTTTGAGATAGACATTAGGTGGCATGACCATTTTGAATTGCTTCACATTGATGTGATAATCTTGTAAAACAGTAGGTCTTTGCATGCTCATCTCCTATGAGTAGCTTTATGTTACTCACCCCAAAGTTACCTGGGACAATTTTCAGGTACAGGAATCAATGTTGAGATTCTTATCATGCTTGGATGATTTGTGGACTTGAAGGTTCTACTCTTGTAAAGGTTGGCTTAAAATGTCACTTGTAGCCTTACTTGTCAAATGTGTATATTTGATTCTAAACTTGTAATGTGTACCTAAGCACACTTTTTGATTCTTTTGGAATTATATATATGTCATGGATGTTAAATTTTGCCTTTAATGAGAATATATAGAAAAATCATGTGTTTTAGTATGCTATTTTGCACCGGAGTGTACATTGTGTATGAAATTCATCCTTTAGCATCCATTTAATATATATAAGGTGTGGCCAAGGGCCAAACACCAATTCGTTTTCATTTATGCCATGGTGTCGTACTTCATCTTTTTAGGCAATTTTATGAGAAATTGAGGGTTGAAGGGTCATATTTTGCAATGAGAATATTTTGAGGCCGCAGACCATTGGGACGCATCTTAAATGTTTTTTTACGTTTGCGTGCATGTCTACATTTCTTAAAACTCTTAAGTTTCAACTTTAGAACTATTTTTGGGCAATTTTATAATTTTTATGAAAAATTCATGCATGGGGGTGTCATTTGAAGTTTCCTCTTGATTTAGCATGTTACAGATGTTTGAATGAGGCTAAGGAATATTTCTAAACTTGTTCGGATCATGTAGAATGCATGCATAGCCTTAGAGATGGACCAGGCACTTTCCACACACATTGCAGCGGTTTTTTCTGTTGCAGCAGATGTGTTGGTCGGCTGATGAGAGCCATCAACCGGCTAACAAGCCCTCGAGACCCATTCCAGTAAGCTTTTAGTGAAATAAGTCATTTCAGTCGGCTAATAATTGAGCTTCGGTCGATTGATGATGGAGTTTCTATCGGCTAATGCTTGTCGTCGGTCGACCGATCCTCCCTAAAGCTTTCTCATTTTAGTTTTCCTTTGGATAGCTTTGTTATACCAACTTCAGAGGATCATATCTCTTTCATTTCAAATCCAAATCAAGTCGTTCTTGAGTCTAAATTCAAGAGCTTGAAGTTAGCTTTCCAATGATATCAACTACACATCAAAACTCCAACCGTAGTGAGAATTATTACAGTTTTAGTGACATAGGTTCCTGGTATCTCTTAAAAGGAGAATGCCACTTCGTTTTATTTTCATATCTTTTCCGTCCGGATTCCGAATAAGGTGATTTTGAGTCTAACTTCGTTCATTTTTTGTTGTCTTTCCAATGGTGTGCACGGTGGCACCCATTTTCATTTGAAATGACCATTTTACCCTTGGTTCATTTCTTATCGGGTTTGAAATCTTTGCTTTAGTACTTGACTCACTTAAGTTCCGTAGCTTCATGGGGAGTCATTTTGGTGCCTTAGGGATGACGTACATCTCTAGAGGCCACTTTACTTCTTTCGCTTCCGCATTTCGGATTCGTTATTGGGTCAACTTTCGGTTCATCACTACGTACCGGGTTGAAAAACTTGGGCCATCACAGGTAAGAAGAAAGTTGGGATGTATGTTAGGAAAATGTTGGGATGCAAAGCCAACGTCCCAATATTTTTCTAACATGTATCCCAAATAAGATAAATAGATAAATAGTGGGATGCTGGTAAGGAGAAAGTTGGAGTGTAGGTTAAGAAGACCAACGTCTCAACATTTTCCTAATATGTATCCCAAACAAGATCAAGAGATGAATGGTAGGATGCTGGTAAGGAGAAAGTTGGGATGTACATTAGGAAAATGTTGTGATGCAAGACCAACGCCCCAACATTTTCCTAACATGTATCCCAAACAATATAAAGAGATGAATAGTGGGATGTTGGTAAGAAGAAAGTTAGGATATTGTTGAGGAGAAAGTTGGGATATACAGTTTGTATCAAGATATGTTTATTTATGTATTTGTATAATAAGTGGGATGTTGGTAAGAAAAAAGTTAGAATGTAGGTTAGAAAAATGTTATTATATATAATTTGTACCAAAGTATATTTATTTATATATTTATATAATAAATAACTTAATGCGCTAAATTTTTTTCTGACTCATTTGGACGACCACGTGACACAACAAAAGCCAAGCAATGTTCATTGGCTTAGAAGACTGTAAAGCTGGAGAGGATTTTGATACTGCTCTCTTACCCTTCGTTACTTCCAATCTCAAAAGAATCTATCGAATGCGTAGGATGGAATGCAGTCCACATGAACCCAACTAACTCATCAGCCTAAATCCAATACCAAAGCACAAATCCACACGTATTACCCAACCCCCATCTGGTAATGGGTCCCATTTTGTCTCTTTCTCTAACTTCTTTCCATTCTTAATTTATTTCCTTTCATTCATCGCTTCCGTAGAGATTCTAATAGCAGACACATTGATTGAACTTTACCGTTCGTAGGTTGTTTTCATTGTTGTAGTTGTCTTCCATATTAATTGCCAATCTACGACAATATATGTGTGTGTGTGTGTTTTGCCATTCATTTGTCTTTGTCGGGTCATCCTTCAACAAGTGTCTATACATCTGTGTTTTAGGTAAGTCCATCCATCTGATTTAGAGTTTTATATGCCATCTTTCTGGGTATTCCCAACTTCTCGTCCTAACTCCCCTTATTCATATTTTGAGCTCATTCTTTTTGTGCAATTTGGTGATCTGATTTAAATTTGTTGAACGTGTTCGGTATTAAATACTGGGATTGAATTAAATCTCACTGGGAAAACATTATCTAATAGATTGTTCTTCCAAATTTGATTTGGCAATATAGCATTCCATGTATATGTGCTCGAATGTGTGTAAATATATATATATATAGAGAAGTTTACTAGGAAGTATTTTGATGGAACTTCTTTTCATTCTTCTTAAGTAGTTGATTAATTTGGTTGGATTGGACTTTAGTTGTTGTTAGGGTTATATTAAGCTTAGTAAAGGCTTATATATAGCATTATTTATCCGTCGATTTGTGTGTATTTATTTTATTTTATTTTATTTAAAAAAAAAAAAAATCAATCTTAAGCAAATCAATACATTCTTTAAAAAAAAAATATAAGTATAAATAAAGAAATTAAAAATTATAATCATATATTTGAGATCTAAATTGATCATGAGAAAGAATGAAAAAAATATGAATATATACACATCTCCTAACTATATTAGTATATGGAACCCTCAATGACTAGATCAGGTGAAAACAACTGCATAGTTGGGTGGTACTTCTTTCCTTTCAAAGCCACACGGTAAGAGTTGAGGTGACTTCAAAGAGTTAGTAAATTAAATTAATCTCCCAATCAAATAGTTTAAAACATAGAAAAACTTAGAAAAACTTAGTTGCACTCACATCGATTGTCTGTAATATACGATTAAAAATGAATGATTAGATGCGCCCATTACACCCGACCAAGTTTTTCTTTGCAATGACAAACAAATATATCAAATAAGCAATAGTTTAGTTGGTACGAACTCTCATCCCCAAAGGAGGATCCGGTGTTTGAGCTTCCATAAAGGGAGAAAAACTTAATTAAGCCATGAAGTGACAGAGCGAACTAAAATAAAATAAAATACTTTTATTTATGTAGCATAACACAATTAATTGATGGTGCACATAAGGAAGTATTCAACGTGATATACATATATATATATATATATATATATATATATATATGAGAAACAAATATGGTAAATTTCAAAAAGACAATTTTACCCTCAGAACACACTCTTAATTTTGTCTCTCGTGCCCATTATCATTCCCTTTTAACACTCTCCCTCTAAAACACACACTCTCTAAAACTCTCTCCACTCTCACAGTCCCCATATACACATCGTATGTCGATGTAGTTTGTACCTTTCCCTGAGTCGATCCTGACTTATCTTATGCAAAAGTTCCCTTTACTAAAACTCTTCTAGTTTGTTGTTTTAGTTCATTGAAAGAGAGACGCAAATATTTAGAAAGAGAAAAATATGATAAAAATTAATTTAGTCATTTTATTATTTAAATCGGAGACAAGGGTCGTCTAATTAAAATCTAAGCAGCGAAAATATATATTTTTATTTTTATTTTTTCGAAAATGACTTAGCTGTCAAATATGAGCAAAGCCATTTTGGCTCCAATCTGTATGCACTCTCCCCATCTGGACTCGACGGATCTAGGTTTTGTTTGCGCTTTCACATTACGATTCGCCAAACGAGGGCTTTAATGTCTCCGACGATCATTCTTCAACGCCGGTGACTTCTTTACATCGCTGGTGATCATCTCCGACAAACCCTCTCCTCTTTCGACAGCTACAGGTACTAACAAACAATTCCTCCCCTCTATATATATATATATAGACACACCCCATAGATACATGTAATCTTTTATATATATTGTGTGCATTTCTCTTTATGTAAATTTCCATTTGGTTCTCTGGATGGTTTGTTTATGTGGGTATGTATCTATGTTATTGGTTGTTTTGGGTTGTGTCTTTTGAATTGAGTTAATAATATTCAGGTAAGTGGAACTTCGATATATGCATTACTCCTCCTCTCTCTCTCTCTCTATATATAACATGTAATCGTATATATATTGTGAGTATTTCTCTTTACTCATTTATAAATTTCCATTTGGTTCTCTGAATGGTTTGTTCATGTGGGTCTACATCTATGTAATTGGTTGTTTTGGGGTTGTGTTTTTTGACTTGGGTTAATAATATTCGGGTGAGTGAACTTGGATATATGCATTACGCTCTGAAAAGTCTTGAATACGACTGTAGGAGAATTCCCCTATTAGCTTTTTGAGAATCAGAATACAATGAAGAGGATACTTCTAATTTGAACATTGAGAAGTTCTTTTTAATTGCAATATTAGAAAATCTTGAAGGAATAATGGATTCTCAGGAATATTTACTGAATCTCTTATGTGTTAGAGTCATTTGGATTTGATGATGTTCATCAGGTTTGTAGTAAGAAAGTTATTTGGAAAATGAGCACAATTAATTTATTATAACGAGAATATGCAAGTGGAGAAAGGGATGCTTAGTGTGGTTGAGTGATGCGTCATAACTCGGTATACAAAATTCAATTAGAAACTGGTTGTGCATTGGTGTAAATATATTTCTACCGGTTAACAATCATCAAGTTTGGAAACTAGTTGGGCATTAATATAAAGTTCAATTGGAATCAAGTTTCTTATTTATTTTCAGTAAGTTCAAGCAAACACACACGCCCATTATATTTTGCCGGTATTGGGGCCCAAACACTCAACCTCCTCTTTGGGGATGAGAGCTTATACCATCTAGGCCAGTGCCCATCGGTAATTTTGTTAATGTTATTCATAAGCTGTATAATTTTTTTTATTTTTATTTTTATTTTTTTTTATTTTTACGCTTTTGTTTTGTTTTGTTTTATTTGTGTGTGTTATTTCAAAATAAACAAAAAACACACTTAGAAGCGTTTCTTGAAAGGCAGGTGTTTTCAGAACAGAGTATAATTTTCATTTTTCCATTAGTTCTAATAAATCAATTATTTTAATTGTTCTAAATCACCTTGGAAGGTGTCTTTTGGTGTCCCTTTACTTTTGTTTCTTGAGATCTAGGACTAAAGAGGGTACTTTATGTGAAACATCTTTTTGATTATTATTATTATTATTATTATTATTAGTATTATTAGGGTAAATTACCCCGACCTCCCTTGAGGTTTGGGCTTATTACTCTCAGATGAAAGTTTTGCAAAAGTAACTGTGACACCCCTTGTCTGAATTTGTTAGACAAACAATGTTAAATTGGGTATCTTATTGACCTTTTTGCCCCTAAGTTTGGGCTTATTACTCTCAGATGAAAGTTTTGCAAAAGTTTGGGTATCTTATTGACCTTTTTGCCCCTAAATTACTTTAATAGCAGTAAATGTGAAGGAAAGAAAACACAAATATGCCCTCACATAAGTCCTTATTTTCTATACCATACCATTTTCCTTGTTTCTCTAAATGGTCCTCCCAACTAAGCTTTCCTCTCTCTAAAACATTTGGATCTGATTTAAGTGTTACTCATTCATAAACCATTAGGTCATGGCCCTCAACATTAGACTGACGGAGCAATGTGTGAAAGCCAAAATCCACATCCTAATCCATATCTACACAAATATATAATTGACAATAATTTACCAAAGATGACTCATAACTAAATTCCATTACCCACAAAAAGTTTTAAATTCAAACAGTCAATAATCCATCTCTAATTACTCCATTCAAAATAAGAAACTTCCATTCATTTCTCACACACCTCTACCTCAGTTGGGGTGTGTGTGTATATATATATATATAGATGATGTAGATATAGAGAGCTCTGGCAGAAAGTTTGTATATATATGGATGTGGATATAGAGAGCACTGGTCAGAAAAGAAATCAATACTGAAATACTATTAGGAAGCATAGCCCGCTTCAAACTCTGCACAAAAACCAATAGCCGATGCCAAGCTTGTTCTCACCTTTTCTTCCTAAAACCAATCAAAAGAAACTAGTGATCGAATATTATGGAAATTGTTTGGGACTGTTAGGAAAAGTAGGTATGAATTTTTAGAAAACCCAATTGCTATAGACAAGGACACTATTTTTTCCCCCCTTCTATGCGGGGGTTACAGATGTAACTATTTTCTGTATATAAGGATGACCATGGCGAGGTTATTTTCGTCTATATACTTTAAGTTAAAATATAAATTTGATAGAATGAGTATTACAAAAATGGGTAGTTTTGGCATTTCAACTTATCTAATTAACTTGACTAGCGGTCAACTATTAGGAGGGGAGGTCATACTTATGTCAAACAAACTTAAGGGGAGGTTGACCAAACATTTTTAACAAGTTTAAACTTTAATCTGAGAGTAATAAAGACTAACCTCAGGGATGTCATAGTAATTTACCCTTATTATTATTACTATTATTACTACTACCACTACTACTACTTTTTGGTTGTAGAAAAACAGAATTGTTATTTGTTTTTCTTGTTTTCTTTGAATCTTTAAATTGTTTTGATTTTTTTTTTTCTTTATATTTTTATTTATTTATTTATTTATTATTTTGTGGTAATAAAAGGGCCTTGTTCATTTTTCCCATTTTCCTTTATTTTGGCTCAAAGAAATAATGGCAGCTACATGGATAAAAGGTGTAGTAATTCATCTCTTCCTCTTCTTTTTCTTCTTCTTCAATCTAAAATGGTAAGAAATAAAGTATTTTCTCTCTCTGGTTCAGTGTGTTATCATGCAAGATTTGTTTTGTTTTCTTAAATGGTTTTCCTCCTGACCCTTCTCTAGCATTTCTATTAAAAACAAAAATGTCATCTCTCTTAATGACCATCTTAAATTTTTTATTCGCCTCACCTGCGTAACCATATGCCTTGGTGTCATCTATATGCCTTGTCTACAAAGTTTGTTCTTTTTACATTTTTTGACCTATGCTCATGGTTTATCGACAAATTCTTTTGTGTTATTTCATTTTGTGTTTTTACACATCATCTTAAACCTTCATTTTGTGTCTCAGATACAACGAGAAACAGTGTGATTTATATCTGGTTTTCCCCATTTTTTGAATTCCAATCTAATGCAAGTAATATGAAAAAAAAGAAAAAAAGAAAAAGAAAGGATCAAGCATTCGGTTGTTGTGAGTAGGATCTTTGGTTTTAAATAGAGCCACCCACTTTAAGATCAACAACAAAAAAATAAGGCTTCAGAGAAAATCTTTAAGAGGGAAATTTTCAGTTGCCTGGCTTTGTATCTTCTTTCTTCAAGCTGTAAATCAAGTACCGAGAGAGCAGTTTCACGTGTCACCTGCAAAGAAGCTAAGGAGATTTTTTTTATAAATCCTATCCTCTGGGATCAACCAGCATTGGATTCAATGGATTACTTATTGTATAAAAAGTTATTGGGAAGCCCCGCTAATCATTCAGCCACTTCAAAATTCATTTTCGTGGAACCCTTCTTGCTCCAATTTTTCGATCACAACCACCCACAGAAATCTCAGAATTCACAGCAGAAGGGGGTTTCTATTTTCCTTTCTGGTACTGCTTCTCAGCAAATTCCTTGGATTCTTTTTTCAGTCAGTCACCACTTTTGAGGACACTGATTGGTTCAATCCCTCAAGCCTCTTTGACTCCCTTCTCTTCACTGATTCAACCTGAACACTGTGATCATAAATGCTCTTCTTCTCGATCCCTTGTATCACCCCTTTTCCTCTTCTACCTCTCATTCCTTCTTGCAAAGTACTCACCGTAAAACCTACCTCTCTCAAATAGAGTTGAAAAAACATGAAATGGGTTTGCAAATTTTTCGACCTTCATTATCCAAATTGGCATTTCTGAATTTGTTCTGCACCATTTTCGCTAAAGCCCATAATTTGCAAGAAATATGTGCAGTATTCCGGACAAAGCTTCGATTCTTTGAGGTCAGAAGAACGACTTGGTAAATGGGTTTCCTTAAATAACCTGTTATAGTGAGTATAGTCTACAAGAATCGAGAAAAATGGTTGATTTCGTTAAAGAACCTGTTCTCTGCCACTAATGTTCATATATATATATATATATATATATATATATATTTATATGTGTGTATATATTTAGATAATTGTTGAATATTCAGAGTAACTTTTGTAGATCTTTTGGCTTAAGAAATAATCATGGGACTCTGGACTCAGCAGCTGCTGAGCCCGTTGTGAACTGGCCGGTTCACTCCGAGCTGCCGGTTCAGCGAACCATGTCTGAGACTTATGCCTCATGCATACAGAGGTTGTAAAACACCTTCACGTTTAAGAACAACTGATAGATATCTTTAACATTTTTGGATGTATAGTGATCAGTAATCACTATAACTTTGTATACAATGTACATGGAACTTCCATTGTGAAATCGCCTAGAAAGTTGGGTAAAATGCAGTGAATTGTTTCAAGATCAACCCCAACTGCTTTTATTTTATTGAATTGTTCTAATACAGTCTTCGTGTTAGTTTATTAAGATGCAAACTGCTGATTAAAAAGTTCCTTTTCTTGAAATTGTTTTCCAGGATGTTAGGTTAACAATTCTTATTGTTCAAGATTATCATGTTGTTGAAGCTAATTAAACATATGGATTAAGAAATACACACGGATGGCGGTTTCTAAAAAGACAGTTATGGCATTTAAGTCCTACCAAAATCAGGCTGAGAAGCTGGTTAAGAATTATATATTGGCAGATCCTTTCATTCCATACACTGCTATCCTTGGGGGCATTTTTGCTTGCAAAATGGTATGTTCTGACCTCTCTTTTTTTTCCCTAATTAAAAAAAAAAAAAAGGAACATACTCTTTGTGGCAAGTACTCTAGAATCTGTGACATCTTCACGTGAATAGGTTAGGTTCTTTGATTTATTCTTCTTCTTGAACAGGAAGCAATAATATGCATAACTTTAGTAAAATTGTCTGCTTTCTACGTACTTGGAGTTGCAAAATTGCTTTATTTGTTTATTTAATTTTTAACTTGTTGATATAGTATTTCCATGCACAGGTCTATGATCTTACGCAGTTGATCAGCACCTTTTACTTCAGGAGCTATGTTGGCCTCACAAAAATCCAGCGGATCGAGTGGAACAGCCGGTAAATACTTATAATATAAATCACGTTTGTTCTATTTTCTTCCTTTGCTTCTTCTAAACACTTCTCTATGATTCTTTCCTTATGTTCTGTTTTTTTTATTAACTATGCATGCAGCGGTATCTCTACTGTTCACGCCATTTTTATTGCAACTATGTCAGTGTACTTTGTGTTCTGGTCAGATCTCTTCACTAACCAGCATGGTATTTTTACTTTGCGAAGCTCACCACTTTCAACTTTTTCATTGGGGGTAAGTGTCCAATTTCTCCCATTACTAGAAATGAAAGATATACCTTATGCCTAAACCTCAAAAATATTTAACAGATCAATGTGTAGGCATCTTCAAATACATTAAGGCTCTGTTTGGTTTGCCGCCATAGTGAGAGAAAGGAAAAGACATTGTAAAGGAAATCATTTTCCTCTATTTGTTACCCTAAAAACAGTGGAAATGAAAATTATGGAAAGTGAGGGAAAAAATAAGTCCTTATGACATTTTGCTTCTCTTTTTCCTAATCCACTATTTTTCAACAAGGAGAGAATCTTCAGAAAGATCGCCACTCCTTTCTGAACTTGGCACTTAAGGAGTTCTTGTAGGGGTAGCTTGAGAACTAGGGGTGCGCTAAGCGGAAATCATCATTTTCCTCTGTTTGTTACACTAAAAACAGGTGAAATGAAAATGACGGAAAGTGAGGGAAAAAATAAGTTTGCATGACATGTTGCTCCTCTTTTTCCTTATCTACTATTTTTGAGAAAATTTGTATTTATTTCTAATTTTATTATGCGCGAGAGAAATTATGAACATAATCATATTCCCTCTCAATTTTCTTTTTGTCCTTTCGGTTGGCCTAGCCATAGCTGTGTTAGTGGCTTATAATGTTATTTCAATTGTAAGTCTTGGACTAAAAGTGTTGTCTTTAAACCCAATAAATTAGAAGAGATGCCCAACACACCACCTGACTCTCCTACTCTTCAAGCACACCAACTATGGGCTGAGAGATTTCTTCTCTACTAGTGAGTCTGAGAATAATATATCTCTATCTTTCTTTTTGGTAGAGTTTTTGATGAAAATTTGGGTGTTCCCTTACTGAAACAATGTATTGCTTTTGAAAGTAATTTCCAGATGTGCGTTTTTGGGCCAACTTAACACATTCAAATTTACTATTAAAATCGATCTTCATTTGTCCTACATAACACATTCCTGTCAATACTCGTATTCCTTCCTTGTTCTGGATCTTATAGATAACCAAGTTGTGCATTTTTAGGAGGATACCTTTGTGTAAAGAAAATAATAGCGTGACTCTGTTTGGTGTAACTATAATGTGAATGGATAACCAAAGAAACGTAAAAATGGAAACTGGAGGAGGCTTGACTTCTGTCTGTTTTTCTGAAATTGAGAATGCAACCCTCTGTGCATTGTACTTGGAAGTTCTTTTATTGCTTTGTTAGGTTTTTCACCTAGATTGACTTGTGTTTTCTATTCTTATGAGAATTACTCTTTGTATAATAATTTTATTATGATTTTCAACAGGTTTCTGTTGGATACTTTCTTGCAGACCTTGGAATGATTTTTTGGCTATATCCTTCTCTGGGTGGAATAGAGTATGTAAGTTTCTCTAGACGTGAAGATTGTCAATGAACATGCCATTCTCTTCAGTCACCAGGGGTTTGCATGCAGCATGTTCATAGCTCTTTTCAAATTAGAAACATATATTCCATGGTTACCCCTTTTTCCTGTCAACAAAGAACATTTTAGTTTTAAATTATTTAGATCTTCTGAGGCACCTTTATTCAAATAAGTGAAATTATGTTGCTGATATTTGGTTACAAACACAACAAGTGAAGTTTTTTTTATCTTGGATTCTGGATTAAATTTAAAGAAATTTTAATACCAGTAAATTTCACCCTTCCTGGGTGCCTTGGTCAATGAAAAACTTCAATAGCATCATGTAATCAGCGTCTGCAACAACTCTGAAAACTGTAAAAGGGTGAATCTTCAGTAGATCTAGATTTTATTTTTGTTTTTGTTTTTGTTGTGTGTGTGGTGGGTTTTTTTTTTTTTTTTTTGGTATCCATTACCGGCTTGTCAGTTTGACTCGAGATGTTATTGTTGGATTTCAGATTGTCCATCATTCTCTTTCTGGAATTGCAGTAGCATATTCTATGTTAACTGGTGAGGGGCAGTTTTATACATTTATGGTCCTCATCTCTGAAGTGACAACTCCAAATATAAATATGAGATGGTACGTTTTAGAGTACAGATCGAATCATGATATGGCTCTGTTGTCTTCCACTGTGATGCATCTTTTGGGTTCTTCACTTTGATGAATCTTTCTGTGTCTCGTGCAGGTATCTTGATACTGCTGGTTTGAAGAGGTCTAACACATATCTGATTAATGGTGTGATGATATTTTTATCTTGGCTGGTGAGTTAAAAATCCTTGTATTCCCATTAATAGCCTGACTTCTTTGCTTAATCAGCAATCATCCATGGAAAAAAGGAACCATTTTTAGGCAATTAATTGGTTGGTTTTGTACCAAGGCCTGTGGCCTAGTGGTATCTCCTCTCCTTTCAAAGTGAAAGTAGAGGGTTCGAATATCTCCAACATCATTGTGGGGGTTATTTGCTAGGAATATATATATATATTTCGTTGGTTTGCCACTCAGCAACATGCCACATGGTAGAAAATTAATTTGTGAGCCATGCCAAGACACTTAAATTTTCAGCCTCATGGCATCAGTGAGCTGATGGGGCCACATCAAGTATCTGTTTTTAATTTTACATAGTCTTTTTTTTTTTTTTTCCCCTTTTTTATTATTTTTATTTTTGGGCAAAATGCAAAATACTTCTTCAACCTTCTCAAAATTTACAAATAAGAATCCCAGGCTATCAAATTGGTAAATAACCTCCTATATTGTTGCGAAACCATGCAAATTCCCTTTTGCCACAGCTTTTTCATTAAAAATGGATGGGAAAGGGTTAAATTTTGACCAATAAGCCGTTTTTTTCTATACCAAATTACTACAAAAATATATGGAGTGTCCCATTTTTGGGACTCAAGCAAGGAGAAATGAGTTTGGCTTATATCAATTAGATCCTAGGGTCTGAACTCAATTTTGGATAATTTGCCTATTCAAAATCATTTTTTAAAAAATAAAATTTCATCTCGTTTTTAAAGGATGGTAAGGTAATTTCATCACTGAAGAGGCTGTGATTTGCAGATCTTTATTAGTTTAGGGGGTTTTTTGAAGTTGAAGGGTGTAATCAGCAAATGCAAATTAATCCAAGGGAGATTTATTGTATTTTACCTTTTTCTCCCTTTGACTTGTTAACTTGTGTATGAGACATGGTTGCTGAAATAAATTTTGATATGCAGGTTGCAAGAATTTTGCTGTTCATTTACATGTTTTACCACGTTTATTTGCACTATGAGCAGGTAATGCACACCCTGATTTCTTTGCTTTGTGGGCCCATAAGAATTTTGCTGTTCATTTACATGTTCTACCACGTTTATTTGCACTATGAGCAGGTAATGCACACCCTGATTTGTTTGCTTTGTGGGTCCATGAATCTTTGTAAACTAGCAATTTTATTTCTGGCAACTGCAACTTCTAATAAGCTGCTAGTCGAATGTTTAGACCAGTTGGACCTAAGCCCTGTGCTGGGGCATGGCTTGGCAAATATTATTTCATTGCACAACAGTCTGATTATACAAAAAATACCTGATATCTTACTAATTCTTCATTAATGCTTTCTTAGCTGCAAAGGAAAGGGAGGAAGGGGTGGATGGGGAGTTGTGGGGTAGTTGTAAATTTGAATGCCTTTCCTCGGAAATGTGCTCTCTTTGTTGTGTATAATTTAGTAATGGTTATTAACAAATATTTAAGTAATAAACCGTATTTTATATATATCCATAATCCTCGAGTCATTGTGAGTGTTTTCTACATTGGAAAAAGCTGGCACTCTTTTTCTTCATCATCTCCAATTTGCTTAAGTGGAAGAATGAGGTAAAATACTTTAAAATTTAAGCATCCATCGCAAACATCTTGATTAATGGGACTCACTATGTATTGGTCTCTCTATCACACACACAAACACACACACACACACACATGCGTGCGCCAAAAACTGATAGAGAAAGTCAGTAGTATCATAGTAGTAACTGGTAAAAGCGTAGGCATGGCTTTTGAAAGGGAGAGGTAGTGTTAAATTGTTGAAATCTTTTTATCTGAACAGCACAAATTAATTTTTTTTCTTCTAAAAAATAGTTTTCTAGATTTTCGTATTGTTTTATGGGTTTTTTCCTGACCTACTTATATTGCTCATGTAAATTGACTACATCATGAATCTTGCATCTGCTCATGAGAAATTATATAGTTTTAATATAAAGTTCTAAAATACTTGATAGGTCCTCCGGATGCACACCTTTGGTTTCTTTTTGGCACTGGTGGTGCCGTTGGCGCTTTCTTTCATGAACTTGATGTGGTTTGGGAAGATTATCAAGGGATTGAGAAAGAACTTTGCAAAGAGACAGTTGGTAGATTAATCTTTTATTTTCCCCGTATATTGGTTTCATTTTCCTGTGCATTCTACCCTTTTCTTTACTGTATTAGTCGGTAGAGGGGAAAAAGGAAGAAGAAAAAGAAAGAAAGGTAAACTTGAAATTTTGAGTTGATGGGAATGAGAATGTTGTAAATGACACACAGCTAGCTAACCTTATGATCAGATATGTGCTTCAAGAATGCTCTCTCCGGTTTTTCTTTTTCCACTCTATCTACCAAAGAAGGAAGAAGACCAAAGGAGGAAAAGAAGAAAGAAGAAAGAAAAGAATTTCAAATACTGAAACGTGCATCTAACTCTTTTAAAGAGAATCCGTATGGGGTTTTATACAATTGAAATTTCGTATCAAAATTTATTTACAGTAGATCACACGAATTAGTCAATCTCTTATATTAGCATTCTTTTGATTTCATTTCACCAATTTAAAGTATCATCCTTGGCCTTTTTGTATAATTTTAGTTTATGATTTTTTTTATTTTTTTATTTTACAGAGATAATTGATCATTTTAATATTGGGTACGCCACGATGCAACATGTCTACTACTTTTTGTGTTCAAAATGTGCTACTCTGAATGAGAGTTCATGACGATAATCATGATATCAATTTCATGATAACATTGCACTTTGGGATGCTCTAGTTATTGATAACCTGTTCCAATTGTGCAGTAGTTGTGTTATTAATTGAAATAGCTTGTGAATCTGTATCCATCAAAGCACCTTGCCTGATGGTATCTTCTCTTCTTTTAAAGTGAAAGACAAGATTTGAGTTTCTGGAAGAGTATTGTAGGAGTTTTTCCAAGTTACACTCCACTTTATAGGTTTTTTATTTTTATTTTTATTTTTATTATTTTTTGGGGGGGCAAAGATAATATAAATATCATGGAGTGGGAGGAACAAAACATTATAGCCAACAATATATATATATATTTATTTATTTATTAGTAAGAAATTTATGCACTCATTTATTAGTATTTTTATAAGAATTTGAACCCTCATTGGTAGAGGAAATACTCATAAGTTATAGTAGTAATTTTTAACGATAATAATTAAATTACATAAAGAATAATGATGGAGAGATAGAAGAATTAATTCCGAATCTTTCGTGGCCAAAATCGCGGTCATCCACTTAGTTTTCCAAAAAATAAGAACAAAAAAAATTATTCAGCAAATGACAAGTGTGTCCTTAACGTTTTTCCTCATCTTTATTTCATCCCCTTAACTTCCTCTCTCTAAGGGTCAGTTTGGTTGGAGGGTAAAGGAAGGAAAAGAAAGGAAATGTAATAGAAGGAAATGAAATATCATGTTTGGCCATACATCATTAAGGGTCCGTTTGGTGCAATGGCAAAGGGAGGAAAGGAAAGGGAAGGGAAGGTGATGGAGGGGGATTAAAAAAGTGTGTTTGGCATAAATGGTGGGAAGGAAAGGGAAGGTGATGGAGGGGGATTAAAAAGGTGTGTTTGGCATAAATGGTGGGAAGGAAAGGGAAGGTGATGGAGGGTTTTGGAAGGATAACTCAAGGTATGAATAGTGCTTTCTTAACATCCTAAAAATGGGAGGAAATGGAAGGAAATGGAAGGCTAGGGTTGATATGGGATCTCTGATGCCAAAGTTACCCTTACACAAAATTAGGATTTAGTTTGCAAAACAAGAATTACAAACCTTGATTAGTTGATTTAGAAACAAAATTAAAACAAAAACCCATACATATATACAGGTTAGAAGTTGCAGTGAGAGAGGGGGGCAAGCTTGGAGGAGAGACAGCGGCTGAAGCTTGCAAACGGCGAATGGCGAACCCGAACTGGAACAGCGGGCGATGGAAACCAAAAGATATGGGTTTTGATTTTTTGAACAATCTGAAATGATATGCTGATATGGGTTTTGATTTTGTAGATTTTGTAGTTTCCAGTTACACAGAGAAAGAGAGAGAGAGAGAGAGGGCAAGTGTAGAGTTGAGAACAAGATTCACAGATGGAGGCCGAGGCTGAATTGATTTGTAGAGGCTGAATTTTTTATTTTTATTTTTTTTGTGGGCCTAGAGACACTATATATATATATAAGGGTATAATGGTCAATTTATTAAAATAATTCACTTTCTTTTCTTTCCCCTTCTTTTCCCACACGTGATTATTATCCTTCCCTTTCTTTTTATTTATTAATCAACTAAACACAATACCAAATTAAAATTATTCTCCCCTTCCCTTCCCTTTCTCTCATAACTAAAATTATCCTTTCCTTTGAAACCCACCCTACCAAACATAGCCCAAAGAAAAAGAAAGGAAATAGAGAGATTTGGAAGATATAATTTAGGCATCTTGGGTTGGTTTTGTTATTCTTCCAAAAGTGAGAGGAAATAGAAAAAAAGGAAAGGAAAAACAATAATTTTTAATGAAATTTTATTACTACCAATTTTGTTATTATATTTATAGAAGATAAAATATATAAAAATGGGTATGATAGTAAAGTAATTAAAATAGTTTCTTTTTTTTTTCTTTTCCTAATCATAATTACTATAATTTCTTTTCTTTTATTTTTTTAATTAATCAAATACAATAAGTAGTTTAACAATATCATTTCTTTCTCTTACTTTTTTCTTGTTATCATTTCTTTTCATTTCCATCGTACCAAACATAACCTAAGTCTCGTATATCTCAAATTATCTTTCACTTATTCTCCCTCTAATATTTTTACGGCTCTCCCTCTCTCTCTCAAATTCTCTTCGTCCATTGGCTCTCTGCAATCACTCAATTTCTCCTCTTCATTGGTTATTTGCAATCAGTTTTTTCTCCTCACCCTAAATTTATAATCCCTTTCCCTCAGTAATTTCTCTTCTCTATCTCTTTGTTCTTCTCATCACCACCACCATCCCTTTATTTCACATCTCATATTTCTCCCTAAAATACCTTCAAATTTGTTCCTACTCTACCATGCCCACGACCTTGACCCGTAACCATCATCATTCCTCTTCAATATTCTTACAGAGGTCTCTTCCACATGTAAACCCAAATCTCTAAACTTCATCAAAATGGGTATTTTGATTTGTCATGGTGCTTGGTCTTCTTCGGAGAAAAAATAAATAAATAAATACTTGAAAGATTTACGGGATGAAGAAACAAGACAATAGAAAAATAATGAATAGATTAAAGATTTACAGGTATAATTCAAATTTATGAGTTGAGATACGGTGGCAATGGAAGACAGACATGCACGGATCTACAATGGCCTCCGCTGAAAAAAAAAAATTTATTGCATTTTACACCTTTAATTTTGTACGTTTTTGTATTTATGCCCATAAAATTTTGAAATTATCCCTACTAAAATTATATATATAAAAAAATAATAATAAATAAAAAAATAAATAAAAACCATCTATATAAATTTGCCCCCATATGAGTTTCTAAATCCGTCCGTGAAGATAGAGAAGAGAGAGATTGAAGGGTATGTAATAAATATTAGGACAAAAAGCTAGAGAGATAAAGAGGGTTTAAGAAATTCAAAAGGAATGTAAATAAGAGGAGCGGATGTAGCCAACCACGTGGAAGTTCGGTGTTCATTTGAAAATTCCCTTTCGATTACTGAATCATTACTCTTACATAAAATATAGACGGTCAAATAATAAGCAACTTAATTTGTTTCTGTAGGAGAAAAAGCACTGATCAGCGCTTCATTTTGACTTAGGATCTCCAAGACATCACTAATTACACGTAGAGGAGGAAAAATACGTTAATACTTCTAGAATATTAATGACTTCGTATCATCGGATAATTAAATACTAACATCGAATATTAATACTTCTAGAATACATTAATACATTGTATTACTGGCTAATTAAATACTGACACTTACTGATAATATTTATTGAAGTAATTGTATTTTTACTAATGTGACAAGATATAATTAATAAATTATACATGTGACATAGTATCATGGGTGGTGAAGTCAGTCTTTTTCGAATGGAAAGACACCAAGTGAAACTATTGACAACCAAAACAATACACTTTGCATCCATCTCAAACAATGAAGTCTGTCTTTCTCGAATTGGAAGACCTAAAGGGAAAATTTTCTTTCCCAGTGTAAGGTCTCCCCTCCAAGTAGAGGTTCTCTGGTTTGTCGAGATTTCGTAGGATCAGGTTGGGTTTGAAAAGAATGGGTTCCAAATACCATAATTGTTTTGCTTGGACAGCCTTTATGAAGCTTTGGAGACTGAAATCAAACGGTAACATGTGGGTTCATTGGAGGACATATTTGTCTTTCAGTTGGTTACCCTTTCTGTAAGATCCACTGGGCCTTTCATTCTTTTTTTTCTTGCTTTGGTTGCAAAAAGGTATTGAACTTTTGCTTTTCTTGACAACTCATTCAACTGGTTACCTTTCTACTACCATTCTTGTTACCCCCAATCTCTCTTGCGAGATGGATGGGCAACTAATCTCGCTTTTAGAAGGAAGCACACTCACTGCCAAAGGAAGATAGGCGAATTATTTGCACTACCATTCTTGGCACCTCTCTGCTCAACACAACAATGGAAAAGCTATAGATAATGGAGATGAGAGTTCCTCAAAGAATCAATCGGACTGTCGATGGCTGTATGATGATGTGTGTGTGGTATCAATGATAAAAACTACTCGCAATAAAACAAATTCTTGTAGGATAGGATTGTGTTGAGGGTGTCGAACATCAAGGACTGTGGTAGATTATTAAATATAAAATTAATCTTTATTTGATTCAAGAGAAAGGTGATTTGGTGTTTTCTATTTCTAAATTGCAATAAAATTGAAAATAAACTAAATTAACAAAAGATGAGATCAAAGTGAGAAGAACTTAAGGATTGACCTCACCGTTAACCTCATAACATGGTCAATTGCTTCAAGTATGGAAAAATTCACACTTGTGCATATTCAAGAATTAAGTGGTTACAAACACACTTCAATTTAATTAAGAAGATATATATGAATAAACACTAACACATAACTATCTTCAGTTGGCACGAATTGTCTACCTAACTACTCTAATTTACCATGCAGTACAACTCGTCTTCCTTAGGCATGAATTATCAAAACATTTATTCATATATTCGTTTAAGCACCATTGCACGATAAACAATTTTACCGTTAAAAGAAGCCCTTAGTCGCCGATCTCTCACAATAGAAGGGTTTGAATTCAATTAAAACAATATTGATTCTAAGACGAGAGATTAATTTCATTAAAACTGATTTTATTCAGTAAAACCCAGTTGTTTAATACAACTAAGTCAATTGCTCATAATCATACAATCAATATATATATAAAAATCCCCAAGTTAAGAACAATCAAATGAATGCCATAATTCAATATAACACTCCTCCAAAATTAGTCCTTTGGGTATGTATGGAATGCAATAAAGAAATGACCTCGACAAGGGCCTATGCTTGAGCAGTTAAGTAAATGGTCTCGATGAGGATTTATGCTTGGACAAGAATGTAAACAATGTGATAGCCTCGACAAGGGTTATCTCGCAAGCATATATAGTAATGTACAATTATGGT